CCTTCTCTCTCTCTCTCTGTCAGTTCGGGCAATACCTCGTTTGTCTGTCTGTGTATCTCTCTCTGTGCGTGCACACACTCACGGACAAATTGCTGAGACAACCCAATAGAAGGCAGCAAGGGTGTGCTTTGCTGTGCGGAAGCCGTGATAAGTAGAATGAGGATTCAAATCTCATTTACAGAGAGCTTGTGATTGTAATGAAGCTTCAAATCTTTTGCACAGACAGGTGCATGATGCCAACGGGTTCCATTTTGAGGGAGATGGCAGTGGCGTAAGCTTGTATTTCCGATTCAGGGAAGAAGTGGAAGAGAGCTTTTAAATCTATTTTTAGGAACTTATTACTTGTATGGCTTAGCTTATGTTATACCTTTTCAATCTGTTCTATTTTGTATGAGGTTGTGTTATAGTTCGTCTATTTATAATTTTATGCTTGTATATCTTAGGCTGTGTTTCGATCTCGATTTTAGTATCTGTTTGTGTTTACACTCGTTGAATGTGGATGTGGACTTTTACGCCTTAGGTCATCGTGTTTCCTTTTTTTTTTGTCTTAGGTCGTTGTGTTTCCTTTTTTTCTTCCCCCTCTTAGGTCCGTCGTGTTTCCTTTTTGGGACAGAACGGAAAACATCTCAGTTTTCGTGTCTGTTTGTAGACTTGTCTCTATACTTGTATGCACTTTATTAGTCTTTCTTTCCAATTTGGGGACGAAGCGGGAAGTAGTTCAGTTTTTGTGTCTGTTTGTATCTATACTTGTATGTCTCTTAGGTTGTTTTTTCCAATTTGGGGAACAATTGAAAAGCATGGCCCCTGCGCAAGGATGACACGCATAAATCGAGAAATGGTCCAAATTTTTCAGCAGGACGGTGGTCATGGAAGTCGAAATCCGCTAAGGAGAAAAAAAAAAATAAAAAAAATTGCGTCTTTGCTTGTACGTCTGGTAATGTAGGATTAGTTGTCTTCCCTACACTTATGGGGGCACGCTCACACACACGCACACGAGAGAGAGAGAGAGAGAGAGAGAGAGAGAGAGAGAGAGAGAGGACAACGATTGAAACGAGGGGCTGTGACAGACTGTTTCATCGGAGTTTCGCCGACTCGTTATATCGAATGTAGTCGGCGACCACGACTCAGCATGAACACGTGTGCAGAATAGGAAACTCGTTCTCTCTCTTTGATTCGTTGTGGTAATCACTGTGGGTGCTTGTGAGATGAATGCGGACGGAATGCTGTTCGTGGAGGGGGGCAACAATCCATTGAATGTGAAAGAAAATTGCAAAATGTATCTCGTCAAGTTCTTGCTTCAAAACACAATTTCCATTTCTTGCATTGGCGATTTGAGGAATGGTGCCCAGAATGGCAAAAGGATTTTGCAAAAGAAGTGTTTCCTGTGATTTCTTGGATCGGACGATGCTGACGAGCCCTGCAAATTTCTTTTGCTGCTTGACCCCTGCTGCCTTTCTCCACCCCCC